AAATAAATAAAATCTTTAAAAAAAAAAAAAATTCACATTCAAGATCCCTCCCAGGAGAAAGGTGGGAAGAGAAGGGGATGGGCCACGGCTCAGGTCTTCCTGTGCCATTGTGTCCTGGAACAGAACTGTTTGGAATGTGAGCATTTTAAATGTCACTCTGCCCTTCCAGCTATATTTATCAATAGAAGGATAGACTATAATAGCTTCTATGCTTGATTCATGATGTTTAAATATTGAATCTGAAGTACACAGCTCTCCATGTATTCTTGCCTCAGGGAATGTTAAAGGAGGATCTAGTGATCATAGCACTTTAACCACTCATTACCCAGTGTACATTTTAAAAATCACAAGGCTACTGCCCTGCAAACACTTCACGTGTAGATGTCAGAGCCACTATTTCAGGTTAGATTACCATGAGAGGAATTATAAGGATGGATACTAGGATCAAACTATAAGGTGCTATATATATTGGGATCAGAAAAGTAAAATTTGTCGGGAGTCATAGGAAAGTAATAAAAACTGAGAATTAGGACAATGTATAAAGCACACATACAGATTAATATTCATTTAATTATCTATATTTCTGAAAAGGTCATTTTCACTAAAATACAAGTATAATACCTCAGTACTTATTATATGAGTAAAATTTATGAGTTTTAAAAATACTTCCTGTTTATAATTTAACAAACACTGGGCCTAATTTTTCCACTCATTTTTTCTTCCATTGTTTGAGTTTGGGTATTTATAGCCCAAAACACAGGGTATGCTGACTAGCAGTATATTCCTGAATAGTGAAAGATAAACATATTAGCCAAATAATAAGTCAATGAGTAATATCATAACAAAAATGTCTGTATAATAAAAAGATTTCTAAACTCCTATTTAACAACACCACAAAGTTACTTTTAAGAATTCTGACCAACTGCATTGGACCTACAAATCAAAAAGATCTTTCCAATTAAATGACATAAAAAATAAGAAGAATCACCACTGAAATTAAATAATGGCACATGAGAGATTTTTTTTGACGAGGGTGATCTAAGAGCTTT